TTTTGGTGTACATGAAGGTGATGGACGAGAGCCTGCTCCTGCTTATCGAGGAACATCTTGGGTATCTTCCGCCCTGGTACTCGTATCCACGTCTTCTCTCTGGGCTGCGTATTCTTACTGATATGTGCCTCGGGCAAAGTGTCTTTTTTGCCTCCCCCCCTTAGGCTCGCACAACGTTTAGAGACCACTCCAAAATAGAGTGCACTACATTAAGCATTTAAGGATGTCTCTTTTATTTTTTCCTTCACGAGGAGGGCGAGGGGGTTGCTGCGTAACACCTACAGTCGGTGGAACCTGTCTTCATCTCAATCAGCCAAAACTTCCACTCATGTTCCTTTCGTTTTCCTTATTGATGTCTTCAGTCACCGCATCTCTTTTACGGTCTGAGCTCTCCGTCCCGTTCACATGACAGTGAAGCAATGTTCAAGATGAAATACTACTGCGAGGGAGTTCGTCGTGACCATGGCCCCTGCAAACGATGGGACGCGGACGCGGCGAGTATTAGAGCGCATCCAGGGCGCCCTTAGTCCATCAACGACGCCATCCTGAGCCCCCTACAACTAGTGGGAAATCTCAAGTGGCTCCAAGCCATGGCCCAGTCGGACGTCCTATCATTTGCGGGGATCATGACTGTACAACGTCGACTTATCGTAGGGCAGGTGACGTACCAATAGGTAGTCGCTTCCTATTCATTGACACTAAGTGATAGGTACAAAGGCAAAAAGCGCGCTTTTGTCGCCTTTCGAATTATTCTTGCCAACAGACGTTCGAGAACAACAACAGAAGCAAAAACCAGTTACCTATGGTGAGCACCATGACATGGTCCTCCACAAGCGGTCCTTTAGGCATTGCAGCATAACATTGATCGCCCACGCTAACCACCAAATGCTTTTCCACATCCACATTTGACAAACAAAACCAACAGGGCGCTGCTGGCACTTTTTCCCCACTAGGGAAATCTGTAACATTCACGAATAGACGCATTTAGTTCGGCTTTTCAAATAAAGTTAGTTTTCAAATAATAGTCATTACCAACCGTTCTGCCGCCGTTTCCGTCCTCCTCGATCCACCTTGTCTTCAACTTCTTCAGACATATCAAAACGATATCGATCCACAACGTCATAACTTTTCTTCTTTTTTAGTTCTTCCCTGAAAGGAACAAGATAAAGATAACTGTGACGATGGTCCCTGGCTAACCGACCGCAGAAAGATGTGAAGATTTTGATAGTGGACGCCTCTGCCTCGAATAGAGCACACGTGCCTAACAAGAACTTTCGCAGGAGTATGCACAGCATTTTTACGACACAGTACAGATGTCGCAACAACATAGAATGGCCTCGGTAGCGTAATGGATAATGCAACCGCCCGGTAAGCGGGAGATGCGGGTTCGAGTCTCGTCCCAGGTCCGACTTTTGCCAATATCTCAGCATTCTTGTGATAACAATACAGTTCCTTACGCTTGAAGGTACCGCCACGTCCGCAGCGGGGGAACAGTTAGACCACTACCAGTTCCCCCGTTCGACAGCAACATTTTGGGAGAGAACTGCAAAGGTTCCAGGAAGTTTCGGAAAATAGTAGTAGGGAAGGTAGGGAAGTTAGGAATTGTCACGGTGGTCAATGGGATGGGAAAGGGAGGGCGGTCGCACCAGAGAATTCGGGAGGTCGTTTGCTCCGAAAATGACCCCAGCGGCAGGAGGTTCCTGGTGACGAAAGAGAGAGAGACTAATAAAAAGAGCTACAAGTCAAATCAAAAGGACAAAACTCACTTAGCCATGAATTCCTCAAGGATTCCCATGTAAGGAAATTCTGAAGAGTTTGGTGGTTGCATGGTGAGCTCTTCACGCGTCATTTTGCGCATCGGCTGAAACGCAACTCGCATTTGTGTTGAGAAAGCCATTTCCGCGTACAGTGCTTGCGTAGGCAGCGTTCAGACTTCCGCTGACGGGCTGAACGCGCTGCAAGGTGCTAAAATTGCAACACCAAGCAGTCGAGTATCGATCGGCCTGGCTACAAGGACCGTGCGGCGGCACTGATCGATTCCCGTTGCGGTTGCGTCCGCGTCTATAGGATTGCAGCGCTTTTGTGACTGTAGCGCGTTGACGCGAGTTACAGCACGTTACGGCGCATCGACGCGCGTCATCGAGTCTGAACACTGCCGTCTGGCCCACGAGTAGGCTCAAGGATACCCACGCGAGTTCAGCCAGAAAGAACGACGCAGGAGAAAGCTCTTAAACTTAATTTAGGACACCCACCTGAATATTGAAGGCATAAAGCCATTTCTGCTTCTTGTTGTTCAGGAATGGTGCCAGGCCAATGAATCTGGTCACATGCTGTGCTGGTTCCAACAAAACACGGTGATTTCTGCAGAAGATTGTTTAGACTACAATAAAACAACAGGTCAAGTGCAAATACATGCCTGTAGGGTTGCCGTTCATAGTGAATTCCCATTCCAGCAAAGTGATACCGTGGCTTTAGGCCCGATGCAAGTCGAGATATCAATCGCGAGCCTTTTACCTCTACAGAGGGAGTGTTGTGAGCGTGTTTCCATACCTAATCGAGGACTGTAAGCTTTTTCAATGTGCTTAATTTTTCTTCCATTTTTACAATCGTGTCTCATCCAGCAAGTCCTGTCAATTCCTGTCAAGTACCCAATGAACTACTGTCAAGCTTGGTGAAGTGATACTAGCGTTGTTAGAACGCGATCTCTTCTTTTTTTCTGAATATTGACCAGTCATTTTGACAAGGAGTTCGAGGGTGCTTGACAGGTGATAACAAGGCTTGAAGGGTGTTGACAAGCTTGTCCTGTATTCACGTACACAGCCTCCGAGTTTGGTATGCTAACAGGTATGCCGCTTCCCTGCCCCCCCCCACCCCGAAACTGTTAGGGCTCCTCGAGGCCACATTTTACGATTTCACTGAACACAAGTGCAGAATACTATCTGGCCCACTGTTCAATATGTAAACCAAAATGGGCATATAACAAGACAATCGGAATTCGCCGCGCAGGTGGAAGTAGCGCGAGTCGCACCAGTAAAGGACGATGTTTAGACATCGAGACAATGGACAACGTGTAACGAAAACAACCATTAATATCTAAGATATCGCAGTATACGCAAAACTCAGTGCTAATCAACAGGCTGACGCAAATTAAGAAAAAACCGCGCACGACGGAGCGGCAATTCACGAGTGTCTTGACCGTCTCCTCAAAAAAAATCACAGAAGGTACCAGACCCTCACCTCAGCTGGCCACATAGACGTGACCAACACATCAACCCCAAGAAATCCCGCCTGGGTTCTGACCGGAATCAACAACTCCTGAAATGGAACAGTTGAAAAGCAAATATTTGATGCTAATACAAGAAATAAAGATACCTCTACATCTTCTTCGTTGAACTGATAACTATTTGATGATGGTCCTTCTACACCGCTGAGGTAAGCCACCTGTAAACCTGCAAAGGACTAAATGATACCCATATGAGTTGAAAGAGATGCTGATTCAATTAAAAAAGATAGTTCCATACCACTAGCAGTATTCAGAATTCCGCGCTTTCCCAGATAGGTGACACTGGAGGAAAACTCTACAGATTCCTCGGGATAAAACGTAGAAGTAGAAGAAGTGCACGGACCTAAACAACGTCACTTATGGTTCGCCAATTCCCTTGGAATACACTGGCCAACTGCCGTATACAAAGATGGCGCCGGAAAGGTCGCATTCAGTCGCTAGCGAGAGGGGGATAGTATATGGCTCTGACAGAAATTTGCCCAAGCCGCGAGAGGAAATTGGGAAAGTTGTCCCAGTTGTTTGTCTTCCCCGTTCATGTGCGCTGTGTGGTTGTATACAACTGTATGCAACCTAATTAGCCCCTCTGCCCCAGGCCGCAGAACTACGATACAGCTATCACTATATTTCTGATAGGTGATTTGGTAGTTGATAGGTGACGACCTCCCCCCCCCCTGTGTCAGTTTTCTGGAAAAGCAGGGAAAATTTATGGAGAATTCATACAGAATAGAACGGGGAAGATGTTGTGTGCTCGGGAACGTCCTGAGATGAAATTCCCAGAAAAAAAACGACTTTCATCAAAACCTTACCTAGAATATAAGTTGGTACTTCAAACTCCACTTTACCATTCAAAATACTCTCGTTGTCGACCTCATTCGGACCAAAAAACTCCCCAACACAAATAGCATATCAAATGGGCCATTCTAAAATTATTACCAGATTACATAATCAAATATATGGAACAGTTCACAACTATTCGAAAGGAATTGTGAAGAACCTTGCTGTTGATGACGGCGATTTTTTTGGCTAATTGCTCAAATTGACCACGAACATCACCGACGCACACAACCCGAGCTTGATCTTTGGACATAACCTAAATCCAACCTACTCAATACGTTGTAACTGCACTAAGTAACTTCTCAGGGGTCGTCTAGCTCACGGTGCTTCAAAAGCGTTGACGATCGGTCAAACCGTGAGGAATAGGATAATACTGGGAGCATCACAGTCTTTCTTGAATGCACGCAACTAATGGCCTAAAAGTC